AGAGCAGGTAAAATTTTTCAGTTGTTTGTCAGGTGTTGAACCAGGTTTTTACCGAATGCCAGGTGCGACACAGTTGTGAATATGTGCTTTAAATTATATTCTGAAGAAAATACAGTGGATATAATTGTGAGGAACATACTTAAATATGTAGTTCTATGCTACAAAATACGCAAGTGTAACCATGCACTTTCACAGGATTCCACTGAATCTGGCGGTGCTTTCTTGTTTGAAGTACAGATCTGGACTCTTAACAAACACATTGATTTGAAAAATGAACTGAAAATATTAGACAGTATTTTGGGAAACTGTGGAAACAGGTAATTTTTCCTGTGGTATAAAATGTAGGCAGTATCACAAAAAATGTAATTTGGCTTATCCTCTGTTAGTGGAAATGTGTCAGGAATGTGACACAATGGACTGGGTTTTCTTACAAGGGTAGTGTTTCTGAAGATGGTAAATGTAAGACCTTTTCTTTTTCTTCTTTTTTTTTTTTTTTTTTGAAGTTACAGAAAATGTAGTCAAAGCTATGTATTGGGAGTTTAAAATGACAGATTGTTTAGCTGCTCTGGAAAGCTGTTGTTCTACCCTGGAGCAAAACTTTCAGCTGTTCCTAACTGTAAAGCACTGATGATCATCTCTCTTTAAAAACAGCTATAGCAACCATTTAATACAAACTTCTGAACCACTTTTTGCTTAAGTATCAGTGGTTTTTTACAGCACTCCTATATTCAGACATTTTGAAAGACCTGTTCTGTATTTCTACTAAGATAAGTACGTTCACTATTAGGAGCCGCATAGTACGTAGGTAATTTTCACTCAGATTAGAATTTGTGTAAACTGTTCAAATTGCTGTCTGCTGAGGAATATAATATTGTGTATTGTTATTAAAACTTTGTAGAACATGTTTTTATCTGTATTGCGTTTACAGTTGGTAAAATTGAGTATAATGATGGCAAAAGATTTGCACCCTTGACTTTTAGCAAAACACCTCCTAGAGCAATTTAAGGAAGTCTGATGCATGCACGTTTTACAAAACATTAATCAGGCTCAGTCCATAAAACTATACGCATATGTGGTTTGCACAGCTAGGGCCACATGCACAGCTGGTGTAAATTTGCACGGGTCCTTTAACATCAAAGACATGTGCCGTTTACATCAGGTGAGAGACTAGCCCCTGGTGTTTGCAGTCACCTGAGTAATTTTGCTATGTGACATACAGGGATGTTTCCTGTTATGCATATGGGATATACTGTAACAGAAATCATTGTTTAACTTGTACATATTGTGCACTTAGACTTAGTAGACACATTGGATCTATAATTAATTAGAAAAGAAAAAAACTTTCTTGCGCCCCCCCCCCGATACACCTCTTCACTTGAAGGATAAATTCCGTATATTAAAGTGCTATTTAAATTTAATTTATCTGTGGCACAAGTAGACAAAATTACTAGTGGCTTATCACTGTGGTAAATGCACATTTCTTTTTCAAACATCACTGAAGTGAAAACATACGGATCTGTGAGGCTAATCCAAGTTTTTTTGCATGTAGAAGCTTTTCACCTTCTTTTACTCACTGTATGATAAATCTTTGTATTTTCAGGCACTAATACAGGTTTTAGGTTCAAATTTTCTCAGGCAGGCGAAGATCAAGAATGTGTTTTGTTTCTTTAAAGAATCAAACTGTTTACTGATGAAAATGGGTCTTCCATTTGATCGGTGTGGTCAGGATTTGGTCACTGTTTTTTTTCCTTAGTTTGTTAGTATTTTTAAATACAAATGACAAAATTGCACAAAAAGCCAAACATAGAATTAATGAAGAACTGCCAACCAATTTTGCCTGTGTATTTCTGTTCTGACATACAGCTTTCTGTGCTAGTTCTAAACCTCCTTGTGAGTTTTTTTCTGTTTTTCTGGACCAGAGATCATAAGCTTGAAGTTAGTCTTCCCATCTCTAGAGGAGGTGGTATGGTTGTGTTTTACTTCCAAATACTGTCATAACTGCAGTTCTTCACGGGGTTTAAAACAGATAATTAGATGCAGCCATTGTTCTAGATTCTTTATGTTCCTGAAATGGTTGTGGTTTTTTTACCCCTCTTTGCTGGCACCTCTGAAGTAGTCATCAGAGATCATTAACTGGAACAGAACCATCACAGTACCGTCAGGCTATGTGTGACTAAGCTAAAATATAGTAGTTTAGCACAGATTCACAGTCTGTGCTGAAATTAACTGCTCTGCCAAATGGGGTCTACTAGAGGGAAAAAACCTAAGAGCAAGTCTGAAAGAATGAGGTATGATTCTGTGCCTTCACTTTTGTATGCTTGGGCAGGAAAATTGACTTGCTGGGCTGATAAAGTGGGTTTGAACTGAAGATCTGAAGCATAGCTGGAGATTAGTTTTTTCCATTTTTGTGGTGGGCTGAGAAACCTAGAGGTATGGGTGATATCTAGGGGATATCTTCACTGATGTTAGATTTCCCAGAGTTCATTTGTCAGAGCCCGGTCTTGGACATCTTGACAGAGGTCCTCCTGTTGAAAAAGTAAGATGCTAACCTGAGGAGGTTTTTAGCATCTCTAGCGGGCAGCCAGGTAGAAGTTTATTATTTCTTTAGACTTAGCTTTGTTGTCATGGTCTCCTTCACTGAAACAGCCTTCAAAGGAATATCTGAGTAATTGCGAGGTATGTGCTGTTTGTTAGATGTGTGAGTCACTTCACTCCCAGAATGTACTTTGTAGTTCTAAGTAAAGATAACCTTAATTAAGGGTGTTCATGTGCTGGTTGTCTGAGTAGCTTATGGGCTTGAAGTCTGAACAAATGCTTCAATGGCAGGGTATCCGGTGAACAGTGTGGCAGGGTGAACAGAAGTAATTACCTGGACAGCTGTGAAGTGCAATAGCCTAACAATGCACACATAGTGTTAGAGATTGACGTTACCCCTTTAAGCAATCAGATTGCTGTTTGGCCAGTAATAATTTATCCTGAAATAAATGATCTTGCAGAGTTCACTGAATGTGAACCTCTTGCCCCTACTGAATCACACTTGGCTTTCCAAAATACATACAGCTGCTGGGTATGTCCCAAACAGAGCTACAGGGGACCTGGGGAAACCCATTGGCAAGTAAATGCTTTTTTAAGGTAATAAAACACTGCTGGACAGCTGATGTAAATGCTCATACATATAAAAATAAATCTGTAGAGAAGATCATTGCCAGCCTATTCTTCACATTTCAAAGAAAATTTGTTTTCCTTGCTCTGAGTAATGCAAAATCTGGTAATAGTTCATGTTGTGTGAGGTAGTTTCAAGGCTTCTTTATTTGCCAGCATCAAACTAATAATCGGATATTCTCTATGAAGTAAAACACTAGAGGAAGTTTCTTTAGCATGTGGGGATTGTGTTGAAAATGTAGCAGGTTTCAAAGTTTGAAAAGGTAGGGTTTTGTCCTCATCAGGGTTTTTGCTTAGCCGTGATCATCAAATCCTGATTACCATGATTAAAACTTGAGACTGAATTGGTTGCTCTGTTGCCTGTGAGGTACAGTCACTTTTGCCTACAGCAAATCTATTTTTATGGCAGCAGTAGATAAATTTAAGTGTGGTGAATGTAGAGGGATGTAGAAAAGCCTGGGCTAGCTAAGTTGAAGGTATATGGCGTTAGACACTGAGGTCACTGCTGAGAAAGGGTAGTGGTGTACAAAGCCAAAGGAAGGTTAATATGTTTTAGCACATCACACTGAGCTGACAGCATGGTTGGTGGCTGGCTAGCACGGCAGAGAGAAAATATAGATCACCTACATGTGTGGCATTTAATAACCAATACTTTTAAATAATTGACTGAGGAGCACTGCCTCACAAAATGTCAAATGCTACTGTTGGCCTTTTACTACTCAGTATTGACTATAACCTAAAATTGGCTTTTAATCATTGTTTAAAGGACAACTTGAAAATATGTTGAGGTTGGACATATGAGGCCTGATTCTGAGCTTACTTGCACAGATGTAAGTCATAAGTGAAAATTAATTAGGAGATGAAAATTGTTCCTCAAACACTCAGCATATATATTTTTATATGTTAATATGTTTAAGCTTTGCCCTGTTCAGTCATGTAAAATGCTTTCTAAAGTTGACTCTGATATATGGGAGTCTCCAAAGTAAAATTCTTTGACAAAACCCTTGGCGTGAGCTGTTAACCTGAGAGTTTTGTCACAGAAGATGAGTATTCTGTAACTTCAGTTCCACTAAGGCTAGAATTGAGCTTTTTGTCGCTCTCCAGTATTTACTGTTGTGGTTTTTTTTCCTGGTACAGCTCCTCCTGTTCATGGAAGGAGGCAAGCCAATAGGAGTGCCTGCCTGCTATGGGAAAAGATACTACTGAATAGAGTTCAATGAAAGCAAGAGGACATAGAGCTTTTAAGAGAACTTGGAAAGCAGATAGCATATGTTCTTGTTAAAAAATGTACTTAGTAATGGATGTGGTGTAAAAAGTGTTCATGTGTTAGTTAAAAATACCAAACAAACTTAGCATAATTGGAATCTCTGGAGATTTTTAGCAAAACTAAGTATTTATGCTTGCATATATCTAAAACAAGGATAGACTGATAGACAAATGTCACCATTTCCCTGTCAAGATGTTTGGG